ACAGGGAAGATCTGATGTTTCCATAGCAACCACCTGACCCATATATGCACAGGCTTTGCCAGGGGTGTCTTCCTAACACGCTGAGGATGTGGGACCCTCACTGCCATGTCCCGACCCAGGGCATTGAAACCACCTCCGCTCTGCCACCTCCCCTCCACTCGGCCACTGTCCCACCAACACCTATAAAAGGCAAAATGGTCAGGCCATTCTACATTTAAATACGTCAGAGCTCCCTACTGCCCACAAGATAAAGCCCAAACTACCCAGCCTGCAACCAGGACCCCAGGTCTGTGTCTCGACCCCAAACCTCTCAGCCTTGTTTTCTGCTACTCCTGCCCATATCAGTTCCTCCCACGCTCCATGTGGACAGAACGGGAGGCCCTCTTCCTCACCCCCATTTGCTCACAAACCAGCATTCAAGCCTCTCCTAAGGCCCAGTCCACACAATTCACCTCTTCTGGGAAGCTCTCCTGACTTCCCAGCAGACACACCTTCTATTGAACCCCCACTGCACGGATGACGTCTTGTTAATACGTCTGTTTACAGATTGGTCTTCACCAGGTACACTCTGAAAGCTCACAGTAAGAACCACAGCAGAACCACCTCTGAGTCCGGGGCCTAGTACAGAGGATGATTGGGAACTGTTTAATGATTGGATAATTGGGTGGGTGGGTGGAGGGGTGGATGGATGGGTGGTTGGGTGGATGAATGGGTGGATGGATGGTTGGGTGATTGGATGGATGGATGATGGGTGGATGGTTGGGTGGATGGATGGATGGATGATGGATGGATGGTTAGGTGGATGGATGGATGGATGGATGGATGGGGATGGATGGTTAGGTGGATGGATGATGGATGGTTGGGTGGGTGGAGGGGTGGATGGATGGGTGGTTGGGTGGGTGAATGGGTGGATGGATGGTTGGGTGGTTGGGTAGATGGATGGATGGTTAGGTGGATGGATGATGGATGGTTGGGTGGGTGGAGGGGTGGATGGATGGGTGGTTGGGTGGGTGAATGGGTGGATGGATGGTTGGGTGGTTGGGTAGATGGATGGATGGTTAGGTGGATGGATGATGGATGGTTGGGTGGGTGGAGGGGTGGATGGATGGGTGGTTGGGTGGGTGAATGGGTGGATGGATGGTTGGGTGGTTGGGTAGATGGATGGATGGTTAGGTGGATGGATGATGGATGGATGGATGAGTGGATGGATGGATGATGGATGGATGGATGGATGGATGATGGATGGATGGGTGGTGAGATTGGTGGGTTGGTAGATATATAGGTATATATTTTAAAACCAAATTTGATAGTTTTTTCTTAGTAAAGACATTAAGCTTGTTTACATATGACCCAAATGAGTATGTTTGATCTGCTGTATCTTTGTTTTATGCTTTTTGGGTTTTGAGCTTGTTCCTTGTGTTCTTTCTCTTCTTAAAGAAAATTGGAGCTTTCGTTCTGGCCAGTGACTGTGGAAGTATCAGTCCTGGTTTTGGTTCTGGAAGAGCTTGGTTTCCGTTGTTAGGAATGTTCTTTAGTCTCCATGTCTCTGCAGGTCACAGGGAAGCATGAGGCTTCACCTGCGACTCCTGCCTTTCAGGAAAGTGCTAAACGCGCCCTCTTGGCAGGGACCCCTCCTGGGGCCAGTGAGGCCTCAGGGAAGACTCACCACCGAGGGTCCCCTCCCGGGCCAGCGGGGGCGGAGACGGGTTCTGCAGCCGCCCCTCGCCCTGGGCCCACTTCCTCCTCCCCCTACTGCCTGCCTGGGGGCCTCGGGTCAGCCTGGCCCCAGCTCCGAGCAGCCCCCGCCGTCCATCCGGTCTGTAGACAGCACAGCTGTCATCCTGCCTGGAGCAGGAGAGGGAGGGTGGCGGCGACGGAGCCCCCGCAGAGGGGAAGACCCCAGGAGGCACCCGGACACCGGCTGCAGCTGCAGAAAGCCGAGCGGTGGGAAAGCCGCAGGGACGGACGGCCCTGGACTGGAAGATGGGACGCTGGGGCCGCAGGCGTGCTGGGCGCCAGGCACGGCTGGCAGACGGCAGGGGGAGGAGCCTCAAAGCCACCGGGGCCAGTTCCCACTGGGTGACGAGTTCCCTGCAGGGCAGCCCAGCCTGTGCCCAGTGAGAGCTTGAACCTCTGGTGACGGCACCGAGTTCGGGTCACAGGCTGGGGCACCGTCTGGGACCAGAGTTTAAAGGAAAAGGATTGGTGAGTGCAGGGGAGGAGAGCTTTCCATCAAAGCTGTTCGCTCCAGCTTCTGACGGGAATGGAGAGGCCACGGGAGCGTCAGCGTCGCAGCCGCAGCAGCGGGGACAGTCACAGGAGCTCAGGCTCTGCCGCTCTCCAAGGCACGGCCCCGCGTCCTGCCAACGCACAGCTGCTGGCCCGCAGAGCCGCTGTGTGACAGAGGGAGGCCCGGAGAGCCAGTGGCTGCAAACAGCGGCGTCCTCGGGGGAAGCCCTATCCGCGTGCGAGAGCCAGGCGCTCCCTTCCACAGACACACTGGGCCTTAGGATCCCCACCACGACCGCGTGGCCACCCCCAGCCGGTGCCTGCAAAGCCCTGCCCACCAGGGCCCACCAGCGTCTCAGGGTGTGGGCCGTGTCTCTGCACGCCATCGTCCCCACTCAGCTGGACACACGGATGGACAGACGATGGGTTTTCGCATGTGGGAGGCTTGTGCCTTCTCATGGCACCGGGCCTGCCCCTCTGCGGGCCCAGCATGGCCCTGGGTTTGGGGGTTTTGCCTAAGTCTCCCTCTCCTCCGTCACGCGATGGCCCCTTGGGAAGTGGTCATGAAGTGCGCCTCCTCCTGGGAAGCCGTGTAGACGCCCCTTCCGGGGGCCTTAAGGGAAGCGGGTGCCCCGACGGCCATTGGGGGTGTGAGGGGAGGACGGGTGTGGAGGCCGTGTGATGGGTTTGCCAGGGAGCACCTGCCTCCAGTCCACGCACCCTGCCACCCGTGTGCGTGCAGTGGGCGGGACTCGGAGGAGCCGTGGACTCTGCCCTGGCGCCTCCCCATCAGCGTGCCCCCACCTCTGCCAGGGCCTGGCCCCTGCGTGTGAGAACCTTCTCCCTGGGGTCATGAGCAAGAGGGAACCACACCCAGAGCCAGACCTCGGACCCGAGTCTCAAAACCCTGAGCCGAGTTCCCCATTCTCTGCCCCAGGTCCCTGACCCTCCCAGGTTGGATGGGCCCCAAGACACCGTGTCCAGCCCTGAGCCCTTCTAGAAAGGCTCCTTCGCCCCAGGCTGACCCAGTCACGGCCAGTGGCACAGACCTGCGCTCCCTCGGCCTTCGCTCGGGGCTGGACACAGGCCGTGCAGGGGCGAGGCTGGGAGCGAGGAAGCTCTGGCCCAGGAGCCAGGAGGGCGCAGCCCAGCCCTGCCCTCTGGCTGAGCCACATGCGGAGCCCTGGGCCAGGTGGGAAGAGGCTGCCCCTGCCGCCGAGAGCCGGGGCGCCCCCAGGCGCACACAGGAGGGGGCCTGACCTTCCTTCTCGGTGACTGTCCCCGGAACTGCACGTCTTCATTAGGGCACCAAGCGAAGGACCACGTTACTACATTGTAAGCCGACAAGTAAATCTTATTATAAGAGGCTAATGACGCCGCAGAAGCCGTTCTGTTCATCCGTGTCGTCCTCTCATCCCCGCTGACACCTCATTAGGGCTCCCGGGACACGGAGGACGAACACATTAATTTGGCAAATCGATGGCCATCCTTCAGGAGTAGGTTTCTGCCTGGCAGCCCGGTGCACGCAGGGCCACGAGGGACAGCGGGGTGAGGGTCGGACCCGGGATGAGGGCGCTCGCGGTGCACCGGGGTGGGGGGCAGGCACCCCGGGAGCCGCCCACTGACGGCGCCCAGCAGTCACGCCCACCCACCTGCCGGATGGCCTCTCAGGGAGGCCAAGACCGGCTGTGTGACCTTGAGGGGTCACTGCCAACCCCTCCCTCTCCCCCTTTAATCTGGGGGCACGGAAGGAGGCCCCACTGGGAGTTACGAGGACAGTGAGGATGAGCGCAGACCCTGGCGAGCTGTCTGACCTCTCCTGCCTCAGTTTCCTCCTTTGTAAAGTGGGGTACGTGCCGTGCTGCTGCTCTGCACCACCTGGGTCCAGGGCAAGACTGGTGGGGAGGGGGGGGATGAGGAGGGAGGGGACGAGATGTCTGCCCGAGGGGACCCTACCCCATCCAGCTGGACAGACAGCGACTACGGGCTGCCCGGTGGAGCCCTGCCCCA